GGGCGGGGCCTGCGGCTGAGGGGCGGGGCCCCGCGCACAAAGGCGGCCGGAGGGCGGGCCCGGGGGTGCTGCTGCTGCAGGGGAGCCCCGGGGCCACGTTCCGGGACACGGGCCGGAGGGGACGAACCTGTCCTGGCTGCTGAGCTCGAGGATGCTCCTTTCCCCTGTAGCCTCCGGGGCGGGAGGGCACAGGGCAAGCCCCCGCCCCCGGCCGCTCGAGTCCTGGGCAGGCGTCAGCTTGGTGGAGACCGGCAGAGATGCACCTTGGCAGACTAGTGGGAGCACAAGCGCTTGTGACCCCCGCTCACTCCTTCAGATGCTGGGGGAGGAAGTGGGGCTGGGGGAACAGGTGGGAGAGCAGCAAGGGCTGGAGGCGCTGAGCACCGTGCTCAGAGTCGGCTGTGCCAAAGGACAAGATACCCGGAGGAGAACCGACTATCATCAGCTGCGGAGAATTTGGCACCGCTCCTTCCCTTGGCCCATGGACTGCGCTGGGAAGATTTCATATTGATCTGCCTATATCTGCTCATAGACCATACTGGTCTCGATCTTCAACTCAGGCCCAGCTGCACTATGAATGCTGTTCCTATCATCTGGAATAAATTGTTTAAAAAAATGAAAGGCAAGGATAGCTCCAGCAGGTCAATTATCCTGATGATCAGGGTGCTCTAATGTACGACTAGACAGGATACGGAAAGAAGTTTTGACATATAACTGGTGTGCAGAGCACCACTCCACAAAAAAAGATGGCCCGATCTGCAACAGGTACATGTGCTGCCTAGTAACTTGGGTGAGCGACTGTCCTCCCAGCTGGCATCCGTAAGCGCTGGTCACACCAGACAGGCCAGAAGCACAGAGAAGCAGGGTTGGAAGGGACCTCCAAGGGTCTAGTACAGCTCCTTGCCTGGGACAATATTGTCCCTATCCAAACTAGCCATCATTTAAACTCTACAGAAAACCACCATCAACCTGACACAACATAGATCTAACACTCAACCTGTCACAGGTAAAACTGGGGAATGACAGCAGCCTGCTTCTATGAAATCTTGCCAATATTTGCTCAAGAGATCCTGCGTTGCACAAAATCTGATCCTTTTGCAAGAGTATGGAGATAGAAGGGCTATCAGAAAGATCAAGAGATAATCCATACACCACTTTCATCCCAAGATGCTTAGAGCTACTGTTCAGTTTGCTTTCTAGTGCTAATGTTCCTATAAAGCAAAGTGGGTGTTTATAGTGCTATACTGAAACAATTCTTTATGAAAACTATTAAGCATGACACAACTGGCACATCCATTTCAACAAGGGAGGCAACCATACTTAAATTCAAAAGGTTGGCTGTCCTCGTCACCAAAAGATCAAATTGCTTCTGAGTTGCCAAGAAAGAGGTAATTACTGCACAGTAATTAACATGTTGATTGAGAAGATATAACTAACGAATTTGAGAGACTGACTGGATACACCTTAGAGGGGCCTAATTTTCAGAAAATCAGAGCCATTTAAAGGCACCTTAACTAAAGCATCCCAAATCACTCCCCATTTTTTTTTTAAATTAATTAATTTTTCAGTGCCAAGATGCTAGGGAAATAATTTCTGTTCCGCTGATAACATGCCCTGGAACACATCCAAAAAAACCCATTATAAAACACGGCGCAAAATTTCAAAGAACATGCTGAAAAAGCTGTACAAAAAGAGCAGTTATCAAAACTGAGTTTTTAGGCCAAAATGTTTTTCTTGGTTGTTTTTTATGCATTACAGGACTGCAGCATATCGCTGCACCTGAATGACAGCTGTAATCACGCATCAGTAGACAAAGCATGCATAGATTTGCCAGTCACCTCCATTAAGAACATTTTTTAAAACCTGAGGCAGCAAGCCTCAATTCAAAAAGGGGAAAAAGGAAGAAAATTAAGAGCAACTTTGAAAATGTTACATTGTATACACTTCTAAATGAGTGAAGAGAGGCTATAGAAACCCCAGGATTTTTTAATCTCCGCAGCCAATGGAGCTCTCAATAAAGTCACTGCTACCTCAATTAAAAAAGATAGCAGAGGTGGCAAAGCTGAAAGGAAATTGCAATTGACAGCAGCAGTGACTGTTGAAAGTAGGCTGTGGGAATGGCACATAATATTCATAAGGAAAATTGCTTTCCAATTACCTCTCTTCAAAGACACACTGCAGGCATAATGTTCAGCTGTACAAATGGATTTTATGAGTAGCAAAGGACAGAGCTGCGATGCTCCACAGCGTAACTTGCCTGACACTATTCATGGCAAAACTCCTACACTAACAAAAAAACCCCCAACAACCCAAATCAAAAAATAAACCAGGAACAGGCCTGGGAATAAGCAGAAGAGATGGGCACTTGGTTTTTTTTGTAAGCTGAAGCTCTTGGGAGTACAAGTGGCTCCATATTTTAGAGCACAGAAAGGGACTTCTTGAATTTATGCACTTAGTTCCTATCACCCTGCCTTGGTTAACAGGTCAAGCTCCACCACAAGCACAAAGGGGTGGATAAAATAATGAGATGGATAAAATGAGGCGATGCAGATCTGAGCACAAAGGCTTGGATGGTAGGAACGTCTCCAGAGATCTGGGTTCCAGTGCCAGCCCTACCTGCGAGTTAGCCAAGTCATGCTGGCTCTGTGCTTCAGTTCTGCAACTGAGGCTACATACCTGTCTCGAGGACATCACAAGCCTCCAGTCATTAGCATCTGGAACAAGGGTTGAGGTTGAAGATAGAGGTACCAAGGAGTAGGGGTGAGACTGCCAAGCCGATTCCAACCATTTTAACTTAGTTACGTTGCTCTCAGCAAGTCTGTGCATCACCTCTGTACTGTCTGGGCAAAGCAGCTACTGCTGATTTTCACTTCAAAAGTAGTTGCACTCATGAGTATGGAACACATGAGATTACAGCTTGGGAACCAAATACGTTGCCTGCGTCACTGTAGTGTAAAGAGGAGGCAGGATGGGCAGTTCTGTGGGTGTGCAATATCTATGGTGCTCAGGAGCTGTGGCCCTACTTCCTTCTCAGAGACAGTGGGGTATGTCTGCCAAGCCAGACACCTGCTATGTTTGTCCCATGTCCATCCAAGACATGGGAGTCTGCTTTTCCCTGCAGCACAGGCTGAGAATGGGCTTAGCCTACAACGGAGCTTAAGGACTCCAGATCTACTTTTAACAAAGATTTGATAGTGTAAGAAGGATCAAAGCCAAAGCAATTAAGATTTTTTTTCCCTTTGGGGGGGAAAAAAAGCATTTTAATGGTTTAAAAAGATTTCTGTACAAAACTGTAGTTGAGACTGATAACTGCTTCTCCACAGTCTGGCAAGAGTTCCCACTTATTGGTCACTGGTTGTTCCCAGAGGTCTCTCACAATCACTATCTTTTTGGCCAGTTGTGCCTGGAGCCCCTGCAGAAACAGTTACAGAAAGAGTTTAAAATGCCTCCAGTGCGAAGCTCACACTTGAGATCTCAAATCCACAATCTGAGAGCAAGGCTGTACTGAGGGGGCAGTCAAGTCAAATCTTTCTTGCTTTCTCCACCTCAATGCTGGGTGAAAGGCGATGTTGCTATTCTACAGCTGCAGGCGATCTGCAAGGCTGTGATACTGCTTGTCTCCTCTCCTCCCTCAAAAGAGGGAGGTCTGGGCAGCTTCAAACTTAGTATCTTTGGGATAAACCTCTCTGGGATGTTCATCCATGCCAACACACACCTGGGTTAAACTTAAGGATCTAGAGCTAGATTCCTCAGTCCTTCTCACCCCACACCCTTCAGCACAGGTTGTCTTTAACTGCATTCTTTGACAAGCTCTTTTCTGAAGCCGACATCAAGCTGCGAAACAAACACCAGTAGGTGTTGTGTAACCTTCACATTAAGCATGCCCAGAACCCCTCTTGCTCTGAGGCAGAGTAGCTTCTTTGCCTATTGCTTCACAGCACTCAGGCAGGAAATGCTCCCTCACTTGAGCAAGGACCACTTGCCAACATACCTATTGGTTTTCCCAGCGAGGTAGGACATGCTTTTATTTCCAGCTTGTTGTTGAAGTTTGCTGGCTCCACCAAATTTCTGCAAGAAAGGAAAAGTAAGTGCTAGTGAGGTAAGTGCTGAAAAGAACAGTCCATGTAGCACTCGCAGTCACTTCTAACCCTGCCTGATCCCCCCTATGGTCACACAATGTTTTCTGCTTATTTAAGAGGCGAGTGAGTTTTACAGGGGAAAAGATTCTCTTTTCCATCTACAATGAGCAGACCAGTTCCAGCCATTGGGCATGGCCCAGACTCCACTGGAGAGCAATTTTTCGCAGCTAGCAAGTCTACAGAGGGATCTGTACATCCTTTCCTAGAGGTTCGACGTCCCCACCACGCTCCCCCATTGTCCCATGTTGTCTCTCCCTGTACAATAGGTTTTTGCCAGGCACTGAAGGAACTGAGCCCTAGGGCCACTGTTTCACACGTGAGCTCATTCAAATTTTCTAAGTGTAGGCATAAAGATCATTAGGAAAGTTTGTAGGAACCAGCGGTCCTCAATTAAATACGAAAGAGGATGGGTACAGGAACCAGGCTGCACTAGGAGGCATGGCTGTGGTGAGAAGCCTCTCTCTGAGGGAGACCCTCTGGCCTGGTGACAGCATCTTTCTTGCTGTTCCTCCTTTCATAACGCTCCCTTACCTTGCCTGTGTGGGCCTGCTTGGCTGGATCAAACTGCGAGGACTGCTTGGACTTGCTGCTTCCTGAGAAAGACACAGGGTGGAGAGGAATCACTGTTAGGAAGATTTTTTAAACAAGCCTTTGCAGGTGGCTGCTTAGCTACAGGTAATAGCTCGAGCTGCCCTTCCATACCATGAAAGAACACCTCAATGAAGGAAAAGCAAGCTTTAAACAACCTCGTTACATGCTAGTGCAACACCTCCCTCCGTTCTCCAGCTGCTGGAACTGAATAGAACATTCGTCTGTTGTGTTGCAAAAGCAGCTGCTGCTAGTAGGTAATTCCACAGAGGACATCCCACGCACCATCCTGTTTATTGTTTAATGAGGCAGCCAGATGGTGAGCTGGCCTCTTTGCCAGGCTATCCCTCCCATTCTATCGTTCTATCCCTCCCATTCTTCACTTTGTAAGGGGAAAAGGTGCGCTATGGTTTGGGCTTCTGACATCTACCCCATACACAAGGCTGAGCTTGGCAACTGGTGGCTCCATATTATGGGAATCCTGCTCTTACCTGCAAACGCTTTGAAGTTAGACTTGCTGTAATCAAAGGGGGTGAACTCCTTTGGCGTCTCCTGCTCCTCTGGTTGCTGGGAGGCTTTTGGCCGTTTCTTTTCTTGCTTTGGCAGCTCTGTTTCAGGCTCACTTGCAATTCTCTCCCTTTTCTTGCCAGCTTGCTCCTGCTGTAAAAGCAATGTGCAAGGAGCAGAAGTGGGACAAGTTTAGGCCTGGAGAGGTCAGAGTTAGGGGAACCTGCACTAGCACAGCAAGCAAAAACCCAAATGCCATAAAGCAAACATGCAGCAGCAGAGCTGGTGGGCTGCGACTGATACAACAATGAGCTTGGAGGAAGACTGGGCAATCTGGGCCTCTGCTGGGTTTGGGATACCCTATTTCCATAGCAGAGCCTTTTCAGATGAAAAACAAAAGCTGATGATCACCTAACAGTAAGGGCCTGAAGCTACTGTGGTTTCAAGTCCAGATTCTGGGGGAGACCCAGAAAACAGGAGGAGGACAATAAGGGACACAGAACCAGAGGGACCATCCTTGGCCACTGAATCTGGTGACCTGCATCTGCAAGCAGCTGTTTATCCAAAAAGCCCTAACAAATGTCCGCTCCAGCCCCTAACAGACCACAGCCACATAAACAAAACCAAGAATACCCATGCCACAGGTAACATTGGTGTGTGTGTGTGTGTGGGGGGGGGGGGGGGGGGA